ATCATGGCACTGGCCAAAAAACACATCTGAGGATCAATGCAACAGATTAGAAGAGTCAGACACAACTTCAAACACACTCAATCATCTTATCTCTGACAAAATGGCTAAACATATTTAGTGGAACTAAAAAAGCCTCTTTAACAAATGGTGCTGGAAAAATTGGCTTTACACATGCCAAAAACTAACACTAGGTACATGTATATCACCAGGCACTAAGTGAAAATCAAAATTGAAGATCTAAATATTAAAACAGAAACAGTAAATCTACTGGAAGAGAGAAGAGGTAGAACCGTTGAAGACATAAGTGTAAGCAAAGACTTCATGAAGAACACCTCAACTGACTCAGAAATACTACAAAGAATAAACTTGGATTTCCTCTTATTAAAAAGATTTTGCACAGCACAAGAGATTACCAACAGAGTGAAAAGAAAACCCACGAAGTGGGAAAAAATCTTAACCAGTTGTTATTCAAAGGACCGATATCTAGAACAAAAAGAATTCAAAAAATTCAGATGCCCCAAAGATTTAAAGACTCAATCTGAAAATTGGCATCTAAGATGAATATACACTTCTCAGAATAAGAAATACAAATAGTAAATAAATACATGAAAAAATGTTTAGCATTATTGATCATTTGAGAGTTGCAAATTAAAACAATGCTGAGATTCCATCACATTCTGGAAAGAATGGCTATGATCAACAAATCAACAAACAACAAATGCTAGGGGGACTGTGAAAAAAAGGAATCCTTCTCCACAGTTGGTGGGAGTGTAGATTGGTGTAACCACTGTGGAAATCAGTGTGAGGATTCTTCAAAAAACTAGGACTATAGGTTTCATTTGACCCAGCTACACCCCTTTTGGTATTTTGTCTAAAGAATTGAAAGCATCATACCACATCAATATACACACACATATACTTATAGTAGCACAGATTTTAATAGCTAAATCTTGGAAACAACCCAAATATCCATCAGCTGATGAAAGAATAAAATAAGATGTATTTTTTTATACAATGGACTACTACTCAGCATAAAGAAGCATAAACTTGAGACATATTGAATGGACCTTCAGAACATATTCAAGTGAAATAAATCATACAAATACGTGTAAATGTCTCATTGTCTCTCTGGTGTGAGAAGATAAAAATGTAAATAAGAACCACAATGTATGGTAGATATTGTAAAAGAGAAAGTAACTCTTCAAAGGGAATGGGGAATTATGGGATGGAAGAGAAAGGAAAAATATGAAAAATGAAGGGTAAAATGGGAATGAAGCTTTGTAAATAAGGAGGGGAAGAGGTGTTGAAGAGAGAAGAGGGGAATGGGAATAAAAGAGGCACTAAGATATATCATGTACAGGTACAAATTCCCTACAGTGAATGAAATCATTATGCATATCTAAATTGTACCAATAAACTTAATTATAAAAAACAAAAGGTATAGGTCCTTGAAATCTTTATTACAATCTTTCCAAAGAAGAATAAAATGGAGAAAATCCCTCCACTTGGTATAGACTCTGAATATAGTTACAGTAATCATGACAGTGTGGTACTAGAAATAGTGTGTAACACCTCGAAATAGACTCAAAACACAATGCTGAAATATTCCATGAAACAATTTCACATGTCATTCTACAGAAGTAGGATATTTATTTTAACAAAGGGTGAGAGAGGAATTTTACATCCATAGGCCAAAATATGAAGCTTGACCTAAACCAGAAATCCCACTCAAAATGGAGCATGGACATAAACCTAAAAGTAGAAACCATAGAAAATTTCCAAAACATTAGAAAAGTCCTAAGGATCTAGTGTTAATGTAAGGCTTCTAAAGGGGATCCACAAAAGAAAAAAATGATAAACTGGACTACATCAGAACTAAAAAATTTTGCTCTGTGGAAAACCTCATCAAAAGGATGAGGAGAAAATCCATAGGCTTGGATAAAATATTTACAAACCAAATATCTGATAAAGGACTTGTATGTATAGCAATGTAAAGAAGCTTAAAATTCTAACATTAAGAAAAATCAAACAATCCAATTAGAAAATGGGCAAGACATGAGCAGCCATTTCACTGAAGAGAATATGCAAATGATGAGTAATTAAATGATACAGCATTCAAATCATTTGCTATTTAGAAAATACTAGTTAATAGTGTATAAATATCACATTTCTTTATCTGTTTATCTGTTTATGGAGATGTGGGCTACTTCTAAGATTTAGCTATTATGTGTTGTGTTGCTATTATAAGCATGGGATGCATGCATCACTGTAATATGATGTCTTTAACTCTTTGTGTAAGATACCTAGAAGGGGAATGCCTGGGTCTAGTGTAATTTCTCTTTTTAGTTTTCTTCATGAATTTCCATACTTTATTTCCATAATGTTTGTATTACTTCACTTTCCCACCAACAATGTAGAAGCAGTCCTTTTCCCCCACAGCCTCACCAGTATTTGTTATTTGATTTCTTGATATAGCAATTCTTTCTGAAGGAAGATGGAATTTCTGTTTTCTCAATTTGCACTTCTCTAATGGCCAGAGATGTTGAATATTTTTTCATGAAGTGAAGTAAATTAGACACACAAGCTTAAATATCATATAGTAGTTCTTACATGAGACACTCAAAATATAAATAGCAAGATGAAAATATATAAAAGGAAACAGAGAGATAGATTTTTGCAAATAGGAAGGGGACCAAGAGATGGAGGGAATGGGAAAGAAAGAAGTTAAGAAGGAAGGAAGGAAGGTAGGAAGGAAGGAAGGAAGGGAGGTAGGAAGGAAGGAAGGAAGGAAGGAAGGAAGGAAGGAAGGAAGGAAAGAAGCAAGGTTAGGGTACAGAGATGAAAAAAGAGTTAAGATGTGTGATGTGCAGGCACCAATTTCCTACAAGGACTGTGCTCATTATGTCTGCAAACATGTACTAATAAATAACTACAACTGAAAAAAGCACAATGAAATATTGCTACACATCTCACAGAGTGACTAAACTAAAAAATATTGACCAAATCAAATGCTTGTAAGGATGCAGAAAAGCTGGATCACTGATCCACTGCTGGTGGAAATGAAAAGTGTACAGTCATTTTGGCAGTTTGGCAGGTTATTAAAAAACTAAACAATTGACTACTACATGAGAAAGAAATTTCATTCTTGAGCATTAATCTCAAAGAATTTAAAAAGTTACATTCACATGGAAGCTTATACATGAATATTTATAGTACATTATTGCAATAAAAAAACTGGAAACAATTGAAATTCATCTTAGCATATTAAACTGTGCTACATCCTCACTGTGGAATACTATTCAGCAATAAAAAAGACTTAGCTATTGAAATATACATCAACCTAGATGGATCTCAAGCGTGTTACACTGAATGAAAACAGACAATTTCATAAGATCATACACTGTATGATTCCATTCATATAGCATTTTCGTGATAGAGATAAAAGTGGTGCAAGGAGTTTGGGAGTTTGGGACAGAAAGGTGAGAGTGTATAAGGTAGCACAAGGGAGAACTTTGTGGTGAATTGTTCTGAATATTGACTGTAGCAGTGATCACATAAGTCTATACATGTAATAAAATGACTTGAATTATACAATATACCAATTACCATTTCCAGGTTCTACTGTTGTTCTCTATTTATATAAGATGTAAACATTGGCAGTAACTGGGTGAAAGATACATGGGATCTGCTTTTGCTGTCTTTACAATTTCCTATGGCTCTATAATTATTTTAAAACAAAACTTTTAAAAATCAGGCCCCAAAATTTCATATTCTATTAAAAATATCAATTCATAGATCCAAGTATCTCAGCAAAAACATCTTGGTGTATTGTAGGTAAGTTGCTGGAAATCAATAAGGATATTTACTGCCTTGTCATCAGAAATAATGCAGGCCAGAAGACAATGGGATGATATTTTTAATGTACTGAAAGTAAGAATAATACTCAACCTACGAATTCCGCATTATTCAAATTATTTTTAAATAAATGTAAAATGCAGTCATTTTCAAATAAACATAAGCTGAGAAAATGTATGATGAGACCTACAATATTAAAATTGTTAATGAAAATTCTTTAGCATGATTAAAATATAACAGATTGAAACTTGAATTTACAAAAACAAATGAGAGTATTAGAATGGTAAATACATGTCTAAATATAAGAAATGTTTCACCATTTTAAAATTTTTTTTGTAAGATTGTTGACTGATCTAAGCAAAAGCAATAATCTGATATAGAATTTCTAACATGTTGAAGTAAAATGCATTACAAAAATACCACAAAGAAATGCAAGTGATAGTATGTTTGTACATGTTATTATAAACTATTATAGTATTCACAACTTTATTTGTATATATGTATATGTGTATGAATATGTATATATTTGTGAATAATGTATATGCATGTACACACATGCATGTGCTCTGAGGCAGGGTCCATATGTTTCACCACATGGTACCTAGCACAAGAAAGGTTATAAACTCCTGACTATGGAGAACATAAAATAATCCATCAGGTGACACATAAGCATATTTTAAGGTATTTTAAAGTGAGTGACCAGGGCCAGGGCCATAGCTCAGTGGCACAGCACCTGCCTGGCAATTGGGAGGTCCTGAGTTCACTTTCTGGTATCAAAAAAAAAAGTAAAGTAACTGACCAAATGACTTTGTTTTCTCCATCTCTTTACCTTTAAGTTATATGATGATATTTTCCCCTGACAAAGATAAAATGGAACCCACTGGTATATTTTGGTGCCACATGACACCCATAGCCACTACATCTCTCTTCATTCTACAAATATGTCACTTCCTGCCTCAGACTCAAGCTCAGCCCTAATAGCAGAAGCCCAGGTAATCAGAGATGAACTTTAATGATGACCACTGCCAATTCTTTCAGTTGACCCAAGAGGCTGTTGCAAATAGCTCAAAGGCCCACTGAGGGTGATGGATATTATTTCCCAGAAGTAAATACAACTCAGCTTGTACTTTGGAACTATTGATCAGCCTTGCCACTTGCATAATCTACTAGCAGAGGTTATGCAGCTCCTGAACATGATCATGGCAGAATCCTGGGGCCTCATCATCATCTGCCTTTTTGGATATCTACTCAATGCTGAATGTACAGGTTTGTTTCCTTTTTAAGAATGCATTGAGGGTGCTTGTCTTTTAGATAAAGAAATGTCTGGGGCTGTTTTCACTAAGTAGTGACTACATGATTTTATAGCAATATTTAAGATTCCGGCAGTACCACTATGTGGATTGGGTATGCACTGGTTCTTTGTTAGCGAGGTTACCATCTTCATTTTTAAAACTAGATAGGTTTACAGCACTTATGCTATATTTTTATTTAATAGATGCTGTTAAGCTTATGATTTGACAGTCTAGTTCCTCTTAGAAAATATTTGTCTCCTGGGTTTACAAAAAAATATTGAAATTGGGAAAATATCTTGATAAGGAAACAGCAGAACTTATGGGAAAAAAACCTGTTATTTTTGGTTTTGTAGACTCACCACTTTGAAATCAAAAGGGGAAGCAACAATTACAAATGATGGTCTTATTTATGCAAAAAGTCTCATTTGAAGACACATGGTGTTTTAAAATTTTAAAACTATATAATGAGGCATGTCTCTAATTTTTAAAATTGTATACCTTTAATTGTATACACATTTAAAGTGTTTGTTAAAATAAAAACATTAACCTTTCATTAGCGAGTTTTTACTTATTATGAAAGATTTTCGTGGATTGGGAATAAATCATTTTGTCTGTGATTCCATATGTCTCAGAGTTGATATGTGAGGAAACTCGGCACTCAGATGAGCTCCCTAGGACACAAGAACCAGTCTACAAATTGATGTAAAAAGTAGAAACTTAGTTAATGCAACATACATCACTTTGTTTTCTCGCAAATGCAATGACTTTATATGCTCCCCAGAGGAAGGTATGGAGGTAAGATCTTTTCCTTTTGGGCAAAACACATGTTCTCACAGGAAGCATTTATCACAATTACTTGTCAACCTACTAGAATAAACTCTAGTAGCTGACAGATCCAGGATCAGGGGTGCCAACCCTAAGTGTCCCCAGAAAGCAGACTGGCCCTCTGGCTCCCACTCCAGACATGATGTCAGCTTTGCAATCAGACTGAAATGCTGAAATAATGGTGTGAGAATGCAAAGGTTAAATTGAACTAGCAGAGTGGGTTAAGTTAAAGGATAAAGAAAATATGTTAGAAAATTTACAAAGCAGAGCATAAAGGCAGCTCATTAGATATATCTCATCAGTGTGACATGTGGGAGGACAAAGGTTCCAAAGCCTTTCTTTGAAATGAGTGGTCAGATGCTGCTTTTAAGAGCACTGTTGCCCCCCTGAAAACCTCAGATACAGGAAAAAGGATAGAAAGAAAGAGGAGCCAGGATTTCAGAGCTGGGAAAATAATGACTACAGATAATCCTGAAGGGAAGTGAAATATATGAACCCTAGACAATACTGAATTTTGAGAAAGGCAGTAGCATTCTGGAGCTATTATAGTCAGAGATAATAGACTCTTGAGGAAAGGGGGGGGGAGTTTCACCATATACGAGCAGTATTAATGCAGCACGCTGCACTGTGTTAAACAGTCATATTTTTCCAAAAGGAGGAGATGTATTTTCATAGCCTCTGCTCTTACGTGTTATTTTGTCAATTTGAAATTTTGAAATCACAATTTTTCCTTGAAACCAATTCAGTTTTGTAAATTACGTGGATCAAAACTGTCTTTCATTCAGATATTACTGAGTTAGTATTATGATAGCAGATACTGAGGCAATGTACTAGGGACATGGGGAGAAACCGGACCCACTCTTTGACCTAAAGCCCTATGAGATCAGGCAAGAAGTTTCAAACATTATTTGATAAAATGTGTTCCACATGCTAAGGGAGCACAGAAGAAGGAACACAATAAATGGGGAAACACCTGATAGAGAGCCAATATTTGCAGCTGAGTGTTTAAGAGCTCACTATCCTTAAATATCTGATCTGGGCATTCCATGGAGAGAGGGTCCCTCATGTGCAAAGATCCAGATCCACACAATGTGAGGTACTTCATGAGCTCCATCTAGTTTGAATAGTGACTATGACAAATGAGGCAGAAGAACTTAGCAGGGCCGGGTCATCAGATAATAAATGCCTTAAACTAAGGAGCTTGGGCCGTGAAATGCATTGTAGAAGTATCAGAAGTGTAAGCATAAGAAGTAGTTCTTGTGGCTGAGTAAAAGGCTCAGGATGGAATATTCTAACGCACTGGCGGTGGGGGAAAAGCTAGGGGAGAACAATCTTAAGCTTATTGTAATCATTCAGGGGAAGCACAAGGGCTGGAACTTGCACAAGAGCTGTACAGTGCGGAGGAGAATTCAAATGATATTAAGGAAGTAGAACTGATATGGCCTAATGAGAAGGGGGTGTGGAAGATTAAAGGGAGGTTTATAAAGCATACCTTGGCTCCTTTGAGTTTGATGTGATTATAGGGACACAGAACACTGCCGAAGAGTGTAGGCTCAGTAGTCTGACTGGCAAAGTCTAAACCCTACCTTGATGCTTTAATATATTACCTTGAGCAAATCGCTTAGCCTTTAGGAACATCAATTGTCCTTGTTTACACAAATCAGATGACACGGTCCCATGAAATGAGTCTTGTGATGTCAAAGGACTACTGTGAGGATGAAGTGACATAGAAATGTCACTGCAAAGTACTAAGCAGTGCTGAGCACAGCAGAACTACTACATAAACATTAGCAATCACCAGCCCTATTCTGGTGCACAGTTAGGGGGCTGGAAAGATGATCTGGAATTCAGAAAATGTATCTCCCTAGAAATGGATTTCCAGGACTCCATGTGGTATACATAGGAGTTGCAGCCCTGTGTGTGTGAGCATCCAGGGAGGGAGCATGGATATTATGGCACCAAGCACAGTACCTGGAGGTAGTAGTTGAGCATTCAGTAAATTCTGTTGAAAGGGCCAGGACCAAATGAGAGTGCAGCAAGTAAGGCCCATAGGGCATGAATGCACTTGCACACCGTGAGAGGGAGGTGGCCTGAAATGTTGTGCTGTAGTTACCTTGTATATCTCACCCTAAACTCAACCTAGTGCAGACACATGAAATGAAAAGGGAAGACTCAAGGCTGGAGCCTAGGAGAGCCTTGGAATTTAAGCATCAGGTGGAGGACAGGGAATTAACTGATTCAAGAGGTAGGTGGATAATGAAAATTAGAGCAAAACCAAGAGTGAGAAGGGATGGATTGCATGAAAGCATTTCCTGGAAAAGGAGAGATCAACTACTAGAAATGTTTTAGAGTTGTCAGAAATACATAAGCTCAAAATTGTCTTTTAGGAGGTCACGGCTGATTAGGCCAGTAATTGTTCTATTTCATGGATCAGAGTCAGGAAGAAAAAGAGCTACAGAAATGCATGAGAGAGCTAAAGGGAATTGAGAGAATTAAGGAAGAAAAGTGGGCCCATATGAAAGGAGTGGAAAGAAAAAGAGATAAGCAGCATAAGCCTATCAACATATTACCTCCCTGAGCTTGTCAACATACCTAGGTAGTTAGTCTTATCGTGTTACCTTTACGCTCATTGTGTATTTGAGAAAATTAAGGTTCATAGATTATGTGACTTGCCCAAGTTCACATCTTCAACAAGACTTACATATGGGACTCAAACCCAGTTCTGTCTGATCTGATTTTAAATCCTAGCTTTTCACTTAACCATGCTCTAAATGGTTACAGACATGGATGCTATTTAGGAGTGCCCAGGGCCAAATAAATGAACTGCCGAGCAGAGAGAAGGACCTGAAGGAGCAGAAAAGCATCAATATGTGATGGCTCCCTTGTACAGTTTGGTGATCCAACACCCCTCCCCTGCCAAATGTTCAGCTGCTGCCTCAGAAGAGAAACAAGATGGCAGATGGCTGCACTGTTCTAGGGTTTGGCATTGCAGGGGAGGCACAGCATTGATAAGGGGTGAAGGGAATTCAAAAGTTGGCACATAAAGAGTAGGAAAAAAGGCTAGGCTGAATTCAGGAGAAAGTGAGCAAGGGGACTTGCCGAGAGAGGATATCAAGGCAGTACAATGCTCCATAAAGTGAACAGCTGCAATGAAAAGAAGGTAATAAAGCTTAGTTTCTTTTTTTCATTTCTTTTTCTTTTTGGAGTTAATGAGAAAGTAGTCCCAAATACCCTGGAAAGTTGAACTTATAAATACTTGGTCCTATGATAATAGAGATGATAATAGATCTATTGCTGGTCTCTTGGAAAAAGGAAAAACTCCAGGTTACTTTCCTGAGCTCTTGTTATTAAGGACATATATGCCCATAGCTATAATTACCTATATATGCGTATGTATATAGAAAGACAGAGACAGGCATAGAGACTGCGATGGGGAGGAAAGGAAAGTGAGGATTTCAGAAAAAGGCTTCTATCCTCCAGACTGTGGGAGTATCCACAGACTAGATCAGTGTCGCTAAAATAAGCCACACTCTGAACTCCCGAAAACTGCTTACATTGCTGGAATTCCTACTACATACACCAACCAAAGGTGTTATGTGTCTGAAGATTTAAAAAATTAATGCAGTGATTTTTCATGTATATTTAGTGAAAGGCACTGGGGTCACATTTGCAGCTAGACCAAAATTCGGCTTCTGTTCGTTCTTCAAGAGACATTTGTTGCAAAGTCACTGGGCAACTGTATCCTGAAAGCACAGTCCAGCCAGGGTGGTGGATCACCTTGCAAGGATCTGCAATAAACTATTTTCAAGCGATGACAAAGTGTGAAGTTAACTGCTTATTTGAGAACTTTCCTTTTCATCCAAAGTAAACTCAAATACAATTGAAAATCTGACCTTTTATTATTGGAACTCTCCTGGCTAAAAGTAAAATTGAATTTTAATTCCTAAATCTCCATGTGTATACACTACTAGGAGAATATTGCAAATTTTGGCTCCATGCCCTAAAGAGAAATTGGCTTTGGGATTACTTGGATTAAAAACAAAGCCTTTCTTAAGAGATATATTTAATTTGCATAATGTTTTCTTTTTTTAATTAAAGAATAGTTCTTTTACATTTCAGTTTTTCTTGATCGTGAAAATGCCACCAAACTTCTGAATCGGCCAAAGAGGTATAATTCAGGGAAACTGGAAGAGTTTGTTCGAGGAAACCTTGAAAGAGAATGTCTGGAAGAACGATGTAATTTTGAAGAAGCACGAGAAGTTTTTGAAAACACTGAAAAAACGGTGCGTACTTGCACATAATATCTTTCAGATGCAGAGCAAAAGATAGAAAACCTTAAAAAAAGAGATATTTCTCTTTGGAATTTTAAAGTACACATGTTTGCATTATAACTGGTATATAAAAGAAATCAGCATCAAAACATTTTTAATGCTACCATTAATTTCCCCTCTTGGTTTTCTTTTTCTTTATAGACTGAATTTTGGAAGCAGTATGTTGGTAAGCAATTCAGTTTATCCTGTGGCTGGTATATGAAACATTCAAGAATTATGCAGTTTTTTCTCTGTCTAAATAGATAAGATATTAAAGTCTCTCAAAAAATCTCAGAAAAAATCCATCCAACTCTTTCACCCGAAACTGAATGATGATATACTGCCAGCGCGGCAAGTATCAGCTGGCAGATAAGCTAACACCTCCCTCGGGTTTTATGAAGAACAACATTCCATCCCAGGACACTGGAAGGAAGATGCAAAAAAGGTTGCATCTTGGGACTGAATGAGAGTTTGCAGTTCTCAGGAGACAGTCACAGAATGTTGACTGAAAATGTTCATTGCTTCAAAGTTTTCCTTCTTAATCACCCTTACCCTGCCTTCCCATTGCCCTCCTGCCTCTTCTACTGCTCACCTCTCTGCACACTGGACTCCGGGAATGCTCCCACAGGCTGTATCTGGCTGCTCTTTGTAGCTGGCTATTCCCAGCTTCCCCTGCGTTCACTTCCTCACCTCCTTCAGCTCTTTGCCCAAAATGAGGCTTCCATAGATCATCTGTTAATACTCTAACAGGCCCCCCGGGACCCTCAACTACTCTAGATACCCCTATCTCACTCTATTTTTGATCTATAGATTGAGTATCCTTTATCTGAAATCCTTGGGATCAGGAGTATTTCAGATTACAGGGTGGTATTTTTTTTTTAAATTTTGCAATATTTGCATATATCTAATGAGATATCTTACAGATGGGAGCCTAGTCTGAGCATAAGCCTCATTTATGTTTCACACACAGCTTATATTCATAGCACAAAGGTAATTTGACACAATACTTTTGAGAATGTTGTGCATGAAACCAAGTTTCATGGTATGGAATATTTCAATTATGATGTTGCTCCTCAAAGTTTTGAATTTTGGAGCAATCTGTATTTTGGTCTTTATTAGGGATCCTCAACTCTTAGCACTTTTCATCATCTAATGTATCATAGCATTTTCCCTTATACAGTTTATCATTGATTTTCTCCACCTTACTAGAATGCAGGCTCCATTTTGTCAGGGGATCAATTCTTTCATTTCTTGGTGGATTTCCGGTACTTGGAACAATATCCGAACCAGAGGAACTTAGTAAATATGTATCCAACAAGTTGACCAAAAAGAGAAAAAGCCATACTTTAATAACTACTAATTTTAAAACTAATTTAAAATCTAACAAGAGGACTTTGAGGATTGTGTCCCAGGTTGGCATACCTGAGACCATCTGCAAGGATGGAAACAAATTAACCTGGACACCAAACTCACTGAGTTCCATCAGTTTGAGGTCCAATTCTATTTCCTATGGTTCCTATCCTGGAGATGCTATGAGACATTCTTATGTATTTATAACTCATGATTTTCTACTTTTGTCTTTCATACATGAGAGAAAAAGAGATCTGCTCCATTATATTGCTTTATCTAACTTTCATTGTTCTTATAAATGAATGTTACCATGCCCATTTCTACTGAACCCTTAAAATTCTTCCAGTTTTTTTTAACTTCTCTATTGCTACTGAATTTCAATCTTTGAATCTCATAACTTATTTTTAAAAGCAAATCAATGTCTACTTTTCCAAACATAATATTCCTGGAGGCATTTAAATTCCTATGAGCCCTCCATTGCCCATTCTCCAAACATCCCAGCCCTAGTAACACACTGTAAGATCGGCCCCTGCCTTTGAGTTCATACAGATTCATAACTTACTACACCTTGGGCAATGATACTTGGGAAACATCAAGGGAGTACTTGTGACACAGCTGCTTTAATTATCAAAATTAAAGCAACAAGAACAGGAACACAAAAGAAACAAACCCAATGCCTCCTTTCACAGGCAGTCAGGATTCCTAACCACCATAAAGGCACCTTTGCTATCTCTCACACAGAGCAGGGGGCCCAGACTCCTCACCATTGTCCTATTCTCTGCCACTAACTCACCATACAAAGAGCCTGGCTGGAAAATAATCACCCAACCATACTACCTGGTGTCTGCCCGCACTTCTCAAGGTGCCTTTTACAGAAGTTTCTAGAATGTTTATCACATTCTACCCTCACAGCATCCTTGGGAGCAAAGCATAACGAATTCCATTTTGAAGAGAAGGAAACTGAGGCTTAGCAAGGTTAAAGGGCTTGCCAAATGTCACTCAGCTGGGGAGTAAAACCCAGAAGAGAACCCAAGTTCTGTACTACCCAGCCTCTCGCCTTCAGAGCTAAGCATAGTTGCTTTTTAAACAAGAACCTAGCAGTTTTAAATGGGAATCTCTCACTTGGCAAGGACTGGTCTCTTACTGTCTTTGACCCATGCTGACCATGGCTTTGTCTCAGCCCAAAGTACAAACAGACAAGAACCCAAAGGAGGACTAAATGCAGGGTAAAATGACACTCGTTTTAAAGATATGTTTCAGCAAATGAGTTCCTGTGTAGCTGGCTGCAAGCCCAGATCCTTTCAATGAAACATCCTAAATAATTCAGAATTGTTGGTCTATAATATAAAGTGCAAATGTAGTTCATCTTTTAGACCAGTTCTGAACATCAATAATAATAAACCAGAGATAATGTATTTTGTTTTCACAGAATTGGAACAAATTAAAGTATCTGAACAAAAGCACATTGGATCAAGGGCCAGAGGGGACGAGGTCTAATTTTTACAGCAAGCAGATTTTCCACAGAGAGCATATTTCTGAGAAAGGGATATTAGTCTCTTAGTCAATAGAGCCTGGATACATGCTTCTGGCAAAGAGGAAGGACAGGCAGGCATATCACTAGATGTCATGGAGTTTTCCTTTAAAGTAAGATTAATAATTAGAAATTTTCCTTTGGTTTCTCCTTTTCTCTTTCTTTGATTCTTACTGTCATTTTTATCTCTCATTCTTTTCTTTCTCACTTACTTACTCTTACTTAAAATGGGAGCCATTTTTACTTAAGGGCTATTTTTCCTAGCTCCAAGTGTGTACCACTCTCCCTTCTGATAGTATTTGTTCTTTTCTCCTGGAGTTTCCTTAGAAGTCTGGACTGAGGCAGAACACTGAGACACCAGACTCAAAGATTCTCTTCTCGCCCTGACCCTTCTCCTCTTGCCTACTCCTTTCTCTTCTTTTAGTACTACCAGTGTCTTCAAAGGCTTTCAGGAACTCTGGAAATGTGGAAACTCAGAAAAAGTAGAATGAAAGCAGCCACTTCTTCATAAACAAAGCACAGCACAGAATCTTTTAAAATTTCTTATGATCTATTGAGCATTATGTCTCAATTCACCTAGACCATTTGAAACATAACTTGTAGACAGGAAACTATCTCTAAGCAATAACACATTCCTCTGGCATCTTTTCTATTGTCTCAAACCCTTATAGCACATGACACTTAAGCATTAAATGACAACACACCGAAGTAGATGCATTTGCTCCAGGCTCAGGCCACCAGTTCCTTGAGTAGAAGCATCATTTATCTTCTAGCTGAGGTTACTCTGTAAGACCTTCAATAAAGCAGGTCTTGTATGACATATAGATAATATTGCTTGAAGTGATTTGATGTAATTTGATTTAGAATTACCTCTACCACCATTCTATAAAGAAGGACTGCAGATCTTCTTGACCCTGTGCTGGTACAGTGCATTTCTATTCAAAGATATTCTCATTCCTCTTCCTGTGGATTGAATAAACTATATGTATGTCTTCCTGGGGCACTTTGCTAGGATACTGTTAGCCCTAAAACCTTGGCTGGGGTGACTTTTAGAGACTCAGGGAAATTGGGGCACCACTTGCCTATAGGCAATTGGCTTCCAGGTCAGTAGCTCTGTTCTGGTCCCCGCTCCCCATAACTCTATGCTAGAGAAGCCTGGACATTCTGAGCAAATTGATCTGATAATTCAATTTCCTAACCTATCTCAAAGATGGAGATCAGTGTGAGTCCAATCCATGTTTAAATGGTGGCAGTTGTAAGGATGACATTAATGCCTATGAATGCTGGTGTCGACTTGGATTTGAAGGGCAGAATTGTGAATTAGGTAAGTAACTTTTTTATTATTCCCTATTCAAAGTTTTTTGAAACCAGATGGAACTGGAAAATACATTTACATATCATTAAGTATCTCTTGAAAACATACTTTTAAAGCTTATAAATATTCCTTCCGTCTGTAGTCATAGTTTTCAAGGTATGAGTTCAAGAACCTATATTAAGTGCAATAACAACATTTGGAAGTAATATTAAGTGATACTGTTCTTATCCTTGATTTTCTTATTCATCTTTATAGAGTCAATAGCACTATCATCCTTATTTTATGCACATGAGAAAAGTGCCATTCCCAGAGGTCAAAATCGGAAAGGCATAAATTTGAATTCTAGTTTGATCCAAACCCATACTTCTAACAACTGCAATGAAAACTCTAAGAAAAATTAACCCATAAATTTATTTGAAATTGTGATTAAATTGCTATAAGCCTAGGTGGTGAAAGTCAATTACATACAGAACTGGGGTATATAAGCCAATTATTACATATACTAGGAACACACATACAAAGCATTTCATATGTTAAATGTATGGGCAAAGATCAGAGGTCATTCTTGAGTTTGATTATATTGGTTTCAAAAGAAAAGTAATACAGGGCCATGGATATAGCTCAGCAACATGGTACCTGCCTGGCAAGAACCAGGTCCTGAGTTTGATTCTTCGTAACAAAAAAGAAAGAAAAGTAGTACAAGAAGTCTAGGATTATTGCATATCTTTTGTTCTCATAGCCTAGGGTACTTTTTGAGGTTTTAGTAATTGGAGCAGTAAACCGCCAAAGTCTTTTACCTACTTAATTATTACCTCTGGATGCAATACTAATGGTATTGTGACTGTGAAAAGCACATAGTGTTAAGGGACTCTTTTTCTGGTCTGAAACTCGAGAAGAATAGAGATGCAATTCTAGGGAAAGAATTGAGCACCACAGGCTTCTTGACTAAGGATAAAGAGTAGAAAATGAGCAGGACACTGTTAAGGCATTACAGCCATCCCCCTGACAGATGAAAAAGACACAAAATGAAATGAAATGAAATGTAGCAGCTGCAGTTGTCCTATTGAGAAAGGAAAAAAGTCACTCATAATGTTCAAAAATCCTTTCAGCACTAAAGGGAAATTCATTGATCATCTTCCTTTGAGATCTAAATGATCTTAGAAGAAAATGAAAAGGGGACAGTGCAAAAGCATTCTAAAAGGAAAAAAATAGTGAATGCAGCTGGGTGAACTAGTACAACTGGGTTGGGCTTCCATTCCCTTAGGTTTCCTAGTGTGGCGACAAACCAATGCTTGGATTACCTTTTCTGCGGGTGTGTTAATTGGTCCAACATTTCTAAAGTGCTATTTTCATTTGAAAGGTTATAATTTCAAATTCAGATTTACCCAGATAAATTTGATCCTGCTATTATGGAGAGCTACAGAAATCTTTGGTGTAGTTACTTCTTATCAGCTTATATAATACAGCTATTGGAGCTGTAGGAAAGAATAACTCAATTAGTCTCAGTTACAACTGAAGGGTACATTGTACTAAACTATCATTGAATAAATAATTGTCATTATCTAGTTGAAAAATACAGATACTTTAAAGGAAGGAAGACTATAGCCTCAAGGAATGGAATATGTAAGCGTAGAACATCTATAACAGGGTTAAGTACAGGTGTGAGGTTATGGTCTGCAGAGAAAAAAATTACTAAGAGTACACCTGGCACCAACCCATACTTTAGGTTTCCCACATTTCTGTTTGGACAGGCCTCTGCAGGTGGACCGCAGTTACTACCTCACTTGGCCCCTAGGGTGTATTGATCTCACCCAAGCAATCTGATCAAGGTTTAGATAAGTCCTTTCAGCTCCATTAGCTCAGAAACAAAACGGGAATTCTCTCAAAACGCCCTTTAGCTCAGAATCTAGAGGAAAGCCACAAGAAAAGCATATACAAGCTCTCATTTAAGCTTGTTGCCTTAAACTGAACTAAGGACTAAACCCAAAGCCACTAGATATAGAGTATCTTGGCCCCAAGCATCTTGATTTACCCTGTCATAGAAAATGATGAAGATTTCCATGTTAAGATATCTTTGTTTTCTTCTTCCCTTGATCATCAGGCTCTTCATCAAGGGAGAGAGGTAGAGCGCCTGCTTTCTAGCTAGAATAATAACAATTAATTGGCTATTGGGTGCTTTTACCTAGAATAAAGACCCCTTTATGCCCTCAGCTGCACCTCAAATCCGAATGGCTTTCGAACAGATCAAGGTCTGTAAGAATATCATCCTCTACATTGCTTGTAAAGAAGACAAGAAACATTTCCCCACAGTAAGATAGGATGGAAATTAAAAATAGCAAGATATAAATGCTCATTTTTCAAAAGTTTCAGCACATCACAGACACTACTGCCTTATTTACTGTGTTTCTCTGTGGAGGAACAATGTTGAGTTTAGTTGAATAATAGCCCATTTTGTAGCAAACTTGTTAAACAGAACCTTTTTTGTTCACGCTTTTGTTGGCACAGTACTGGATATATCATAGAAGATGAACACAGTAAAATAAAACAGAATATCACAACTCTGTAAGTAGGTATGAAGAGAATTAGAAACAGTGTCTGTGTTAACATGGCAGAAGAAGAACAAATATTTTTCATGTGTTCTTTAACATGCATTCTAGGCACTGATCCAGCCTCAGGACCCATGTCGAACACAGTGAGTGACATTGAAATGGTCCATAGTTGACAAATGAGTCTGATTCTGACTGTTTCTTAGGTCCTGATTGAATAGCCTATTGGAATTTCTTGAGGTATCATTATATTTCTAGGCTCTTGAGCCTTTTACCTGAGGGTAAAAGACTGCTGATTAGGCAGCAATATTTCCACCACATGCTCAAATCAAGCCAGAGATCAACAGCAGCAGCAACATATTGAGTCATAAAGAGCAATGTGAAATGAGGGAAATGATCAAGAGGTCTGGTTGCTTAACCATGGACACAGAATGAGAATTGGGAAAATCACACCAAGTTTCCTCATTGCTAATGTGTGTGCACTGGACAAAACGGGGCTGCTCCCATCACCCACTTCTGTCAACTTATCACAATCTCGTATTGACTGAACACTTTCTAAAGGTGGTATTTGTTTTGGCTGAACATTTTAGTATTTGTATATAGCAACAATATGCTAGCTAGTAACATGAAAAGAGCCAGGGATGTTATTCACATGCACTATGAGAAAGTTCTTAACAAATAAGTAAAGAAAAAAGACCAAGTACCAACTTTTGGATCACTCATTTAGTGGATTTTTGCTAGCAAAGATTAAAGCTCGGGTTAGTTTTTCTCCATGTCCTTATTTCTGGAACTACCAATAGGGATTATGGGCTAACCATTAAATTAGCATATGGTATCACATGTAAAGTAGAGCTGTAACATTTAGACTTGTCAATCAAAAATTCAGGATATCCTCAAAAAACATATAGTCACACTGATAGCCTGAATTCCTCTATAAGAAGAGACTGTTGATACAAACCTACAGGACAAGACTAAGAGACAGGAATATGAAGAGGTTAGGAAAGGAAAACCAATAAGAAGATGAATTACAAACTACTTACCTGTAACTACAACTGATTGCTTGATTTCCTGGGACTGTCTTCAAGAAGCTAGATGAACTGGTCTCAGGATATTGGGCCTACAAGGCAAGAAGAGGTGAAAGAATTTGTTCATCAGAATCTGTCTTTCATTGGTCAAAATTTCACCCTATGGGGAGTCAACTCCCCACATTTGCCACTTGGCTCTCTTGGGTACCCCGAGAGTTATATAGCATCTCATGCCTCAGCATCAACATGGAAGCCCAACGCAAGAAGTGAAAGGTACATGGGACACATATGAGCCAAGGAAGTTCAAGGCTGCACTTGTGGAAGGTCAGTTGAAGTTCATGTTGAGCTGATTGCCACAATACCAAAAAAAGACACAGGTAAGCCAACAGAAATGAAGGTATTACACAGGAGGTATCTAATAGGGTTACTTATTTTCAAACTTTCCATGCTATCAGTGCACTAACAGCTGAGCATTTCAATTGCAAGTTGGACTGCATTTGAGTGTGCAGGTAAAGGGAAGGTGTCTTACATGTATTTTATTCCTGCGCTGCTCTACAGACAGAAATAGGCCCAAGGGCACAGCTTCTTTCTCTTAACTCAGCAGGTCTCAGCTAGCAAGCCCTGAATCCTGGTATTTTCAGTTATAGAGATTGCATAGGAGGAACACAGAGAAAGCACAGTAATTAGAAAATATAAAATAACGTGGCAGAAATAAGCCAACTATACAATGAATCACAATTAATGTGAAGTGGGGTTAAACTAATGTATTAATGGCAACTTTCAGTTTGGAGTTAAAATCTAATTGCATTCTGCTGACAAAGAGATACTTAAAATAAAATTACACCAGGAGGCTAAAATAAAAGGATGTAAAAAGAATTATCAGGTAAGTGCTGGCAAAAAGGAAATTGGGAAAGCAATCTGAATATCAGACAAAATAGACTTTAAGATGAAAAGCTTTACAAAAGACAAAGAAAAACATTTTATATTATTAATGGAGGTTACATAGGGGAATAAAGAAAATGTGGGTCAGTGGGATGCTTAGTGCTGCTAATACATAATGTATTTAGTGGTTAGCTACATAAAAGACCCTACTTCATTCTCTTATAATTGATTCATATCAACCTCAGCCAGCTTCAAGGTGCTTTCAGGTTCTATGGACTCCTCAGCACTAAAATTTCTAGGGCTCTCCAGATTCTTTTTTTTTTTTTCCAGATTCTATTTCTGGAAGTAACATGTTAAACTTCCTAGCTCTGAAAGCCAAACAATTTCTAGAAAAACCAAACAATAAAGATTACTGCATTTTGGTACAAAAAGGCAGTATCTGTGTGAAGTTATGGCTTTACTGCTGTGTTTCTTATTCACTGAAAGAAATAAGGAAAAATGTAGCTTTCAGGAAAATGACTGTATGTGTAGAAAACCCAAAGAACCTAAACAATTAGAATAAATGAATACTTATAAAAGGCTACTAGATACAGAGTAAACATACAAATATTAATTATATGTCTATGTACCCACAATGATTAAAGAAAATAAATTTTGTAATCAAATAAAAAATAAATGTTTAGGAATAAAAATAAGAAGTAGAAGAATTCTACACAAAAAGATTGCCAAACATTATTAAGAAAAAGTAAAGAATACATAAACAAATGAATGGGTAATCTATGTTCTTGGATTAATGTCTAAAATACATTAAATCAATTATTTCCTAATAAAATAGATGTGCTGGTACATGCCTGTAATCCCAACACTAGGGAAATTAAGGCAAGAGGCTAGCCATGAGTTCAAGGCCAGCCTGAGCATCATAGTGAATTCAAAGCCAGCCTGGACTACACAGTGAGACCCTGTATCAAGAAAACAAAATTTCCTAATAGATTCAGTACAATGTCAATCAAAACTCCCACCAGGCTTTTTCCTTGGTATATAAGAGGAGTGCTATTGAGAATTCTATGTTCACATAGGAAAATGCAAAGGGCCAAGGATAGCCAAGGCAATTTGAATAAAATTGGAGTGCTTTTACTATCAAATACCAAGATATCAGAGATATATTAAGATAGCATGGTACTGATACAAAGGTAGACAAATAGATCAATGAAATACAGTTGGAGAGTCCAGGAACATACAGGCACTTGCAAAATGTCTTAGGTACTTTCCTCATTGTTGGGACAAACTACCCCATACCCACAACTTAGGGAAGGAGAGATTTATTTTGGCTCACAGTTTGTAAACATGTCAATCCACAGTCATGGGCTCCAAGGTAGAAAGACATGTTGGAAGGGCCTGGGCAGAGGAACGCTGTTTACTTCATGGCATCCAGGAAGCAGAGGTCAAGGGAGGAGCCAGGAAGAGAGACACACCCTTCCAGTCATGCCCACAGTGACCACACTCTTGCAAACAGACCCCACCTCTTAACAGCAAGTCAGCTATACCACACCCATAGTCCAATCACCTTTCCAAAGCCTCACCTTTGAGCACATGAGGATTTGAGGGGACATTCAGATATAAACTGTAACACAAAGAAACTTGATTTATGACAAGAAGAGCCACTGCAATGAAGCACAGAAGGGTGTTTTCTATAAATAATGGTAAAGTGTGTACACATGGAAAATATATCTGGATCCCTACCTCACCACATATAATCAAGTATAAGTGGAATAAGGATCTAAATATGAAATATAAAATAACAAATTTGTATATGTATGACCTTGGGATAAACAAGAATTCTTGTTTTTGCAACGCTAGGGACTGAACCTAGAGTTTCCCACATGCTAGGAAAGTGCTGTATCACAGAGCTACATCCCAACTCTTTCTATTTTATTTGGAAATACATCTCAGTTCCCCAGTCTGGGCTCAAACTTGCCATCCTCCTGCCTCCGTCTTCCAAAGATTTGGGATTGCAGGCATGTGTCACCATACCCAGATGCAAAAATCTCCTAAACTAAATACAAAAATTACTCACCACAAAGAAAACAATCAATAAACTGGACTACATTAAAACTTAGAACTTTAAAAGAAATAAAATAAAAGATATAATTTAGAACTTTTGTTCAGCAAAAGACAATATTTAGAGAGAAAAGGGAAGTTGCAGAGTGGAAGAAGATATTTGCAATACATATATTTAATAATGACTGCTCATGCACTGATAGTTGGAATTTAAATTTGTACTATCATTGCAGTAAACTGTTTGGTAGTATCTACTAGACTTAAACTTATGTTCCAACAATTCAACTCACAGGTATAAATCCATTAAAAATGCATGCATATGCTATCAAGAGATATGTACAAGAACGTTTATTACATCATTATATATAGGAGCCCAAAACTGACAATACCCCAAATATCCATTAATAGAATAGCTGAGTATAAACTGTAGTACCAATACAGTAGAATACTACACAGCAATGTAAATGAACTACTGCTATACAAAACCAACGTAGATGAATCTTGTGGACAAAAGGTTAAATGAAAGACGCAGAAGAATATTATTGTGAGCTTCTATTTGCATGAAGTTATGAACTAACTAAGCTGTTCACTCTATCAAGGTTGGGAAATGGTAACCTGTGAGGAGAAGTGATACCGTAAGAGGGAGCATTAGCAGATCTCCTAGGGTTTTGATGCTATCCTGTGTACTGATCTTTGCAGTGTTTCATTAAGTGCATTTACGGATATTCCTTGTTTGAAAAATTCCATTCCTATGACTAAGTCATTAAATGAATTAGTTGCTAAATGAGGAATTGTGTGTAGTATGTACAATATTCAGAACAAAGAAATAATCAAAAGAAACTCCAACTTTTTGACTTTGCTTTTATTTGCATAACTCTTACATGCAATACTGTAATATATAGCAGAACATAAAACTACAATACTATAGTGTACAGTACAATCAGCAAAAATTACAGTACATACTGTATCAATAAGGTGTACATACGAAAGAGACACTGAGGCTCTACAAACAAGATTTACAGAACTGTGCAAAAAAAAAGATAGGTCACAAGTCCAATCAGTGGCTTGTAAGTCCAAACAGCATGCCTTGGTCATAAATCTGAACAGGCATTAAACTGATAGGTCATTAAAAAAGGAATGCCAGTACTTTGTGAAAACACATGTAAATCTGAACTTGGGTTATACTTCAATAAACCAGTTTTAAATTGCAGCCCATGACTTGGTGAAAGTGTAATGTCCCATCAATTAGTTCTACACTGAATCCATATATTCCTGTCACCACTTTTATGCTTTACTGAGAATTTTATTTGACCCTCCTTTCTACTCTTAACTCAAGCCACCAAGTTTCTCATTGTGAATGCTCCCAGCTGATTTGTCCCATACATGTCAGTAGTTCCACATATTGTTTAGAAATATATCTTAAATTATGGTATGAATATTGATTTTTCTTTCTTTCAGATGCAACCTGCAGCATTAAGAATGGCAGGTGCAAGCAGTTTTGTAAAAGGGATGCTAAGAACAAGGTGATTTGTTCCTGTACTGAGGGATACCGACTTGCAGAAGACCAAAAGTCCTGTGAACCAGCAGGTCAAACTCTAAATACATTTTTATATGTACAATCTATATTTGAACTTTCAGCACTTTAACTACCTATTTTTAATCTCGGTTTGTATCTATTTCCTTTTGAAATGAAACAAAAGATCAGTAACTTGAATTAGACAAATCCATTTTTCAAATCACATCATCATTTTAAGCATAAAGTCTATAATTACCTACAGCCTGAATTATTTTCTGTGTTCAATTACTTTCACTGACTTTTATATCACAAAGCAATCAATTTGTGTGATTTCTGTGTGTAATATTGATAATTCTCCTACTCAAATGAATACAGTAATAGAGCACTTATCATAAAAGTGCACAAATAATGGACTTAGTGATAGGTTTCTAGTATAAAGATGACGAATTTTAAGCATAAGTCTGTCAAGGTTTGCTGGTTTACTCTACGAAAGTTATTTTCTGACTTTGTGTCTCAAGCTGAGCTTAAACATTTGATGTCAGAATTGCTCCAGCAACTGGTATTTAAATTCTGCTAAGGCTGATCAGCACAGTCTACAAAGGAATGGAAGAAGCAGTTTCCCAATTATGATCCCATGCCACCGTGTAGACAGCTGGTTGGTGTATTTAGAACATCTCCACTCCACGCTCATATTGTTCAAAAATCTGAAGTAGAAATTTGATACTGAAGTCGAAAAAGTAGGCTCTGCAGGACCAATTATATTCAGAGTGAGGGACTTTTTTGAAGCAAGCTAAATGTAATTTATTTTACATTTATAAAGCCTGATTTGTATTAAACTGGCACATTAAATCATACACGACTCCTCTATTACTGGATTTGATACCTATCTCAGCAATGCACCAAGCAGAGGAAATTAAAGGAAGGACGTGAAACCAATAGTATACATGCTGTAGCTAAAACGAAGAGTCTACTGTGTAAAGCTCGCATACTTTGAGAGGAGTACGTTCATGTGCATGTGTGCACGCACACGTGTGTATGCATTTAACTTTTAAAAACTAACTTCCAGCGTTGACAGATTGTATAGTAGCTAAATCCAGCCGGGTGAGGTGGCACACGCCTATAATCCAGCACTCAAGAGACTGAAGCAGGAGGATCGCTGCAAGTTCGAGGCCAGCCCTGGGCTATGTAGAGAATTCAAGGCCAGCTTGAACTAATAGCAAAACCCTGTCTCAACCTTCCCAAAAAAATTGCTAATCCCTTACAAGCCTTTCTATAAAAGAAAAAGTGGAAAATTACCTCCAACTATTGAGTCATATTTTATACAGTATACCCTTAGCTTTAGCAAAATAAGTAGCCCAAACCTAAACTAAGCTTTGCTGCCTTTGCAAAGATAATTATCCTTTTCCTCTAGCCATTATCAATCATGTATATTTATATATTAGTATTTTAAACTAATTTCCTGTTTTCTCAATTGCATGCAGCCTTCATGATACTTTGCTGCAGCTGATTACTATAGAAATGTCTGCTATAAGGAACATGACTAGGAGGAAAGTGAAAACTGAAAATTAAGTGTGAGGTGACTTTGACTACAAATTTCCATTCTGAGATTCTCCACTGTATCAGTAAAAACATTATTTTAGGAAATAAAACTACCCAAGGGAAGAAGGTAGTTGGGTCCCAGGTAAATATGGCTCTGATTATCATATTGATAATCTACTTGGTTAATATTTGATAGCCAAGTAATTGAATCACAGTGGTGTCTCTTCAACAAACACCGAAAATTTACTTTGAAATCTACAGAGGTCTAGCCTGCAAAAGAAACCCTGTTAATGACAAGCACCAGAAGTCCCATTTACCAACTTCTAATGCTAAAGTCACAAGGCACAAATCACCAGACATCCACTCAGGGCTGGCACTTGGAAGGAAGACCTCAGTAAATAAACTAAACAGACGCTCCTTAGACTCCATAAATGTCTTACCATTTCTTGCACCTTGAGACCATGTTAAGTGAAATAAATCAGACAAACAAGCTTAAGTATCACACGGTTTCTCTTATCTGAGTAACCCAAAGCATGAATAAATTAAAGAACAAAATAAAAAGCGACAACATAAGAAACAGGTAGATAGATCTTTTGCAAACTGAAGGGAATAGAGAGATGGAGGAAGGGGAGGGGGAAAGGTAAAGGGACATAAAAAGAATTAGATGTGTCATGAACATGTATCAACTGCCCACAAAAATGTAATCATTACATACGAACATATACTAATAAAAAATTTTATATCTTACCAAATTTGATCCAGGACACATATTCTATATTTTCACAAAGATGGTGGATTCCTTAGCCAAAGTTCCAAGAAGACTTTGAAAACTTTCCATAAAAACAATGCAATCTTTTCTGTTAATATTGTATTCACTGGTTAGACTTTTTAAATATTGATGGACTATTTCTCAGAAATGACAGAGATGTGCCTTACTCTCAATTTTTATAATACATGTTCTATTTGCCAGTAAGAAAAATTGAAATGCTAATTGTTTTGTCTACTTTTCTAGTGCCGTTTCCATGTGGAAGAGTTTCTGTTCCATACAAGTCTAAGAAGCTCACCCGTGCTGAAACTATTTTTCCTTACATGAACTATGAAAATTTTACTAACACTGAAACCATTTGGGATAACATCACTGAGGCTGAAACTATTTGGGATAATGACACTGAAAGCACCGGGATATTTGATGACTTCACTCGGGTTGTTGGTGGAGAAAACGCCAAACCAGGTCAATTCCCTTGGCAGGTACTCTATACTGATAGCATGTCAAAACTGGAGCTCAGCTAGTAAAAGGCAAGCCATGTACATAGGAGGCTGAAGCTAGGACATGAGGGAAGTATTTAGGGAAGTTTCAGCACTAAGCAACATGGGGAAGCCCTGTAGGTGAACAGCTGGTGAAAGGTCCAGGGAGAGCTACCATACAAGGTCAAGAGGAATCTAGCTTCAAGGTAGGAGGCTAGCAAGATTCCAGATAAGCAATTGGTCAGCAATAGGAAGTAAGGTCACAGGTACCGGAGTTCAAGGTACTACTCCTGCTTCAGCCCCCTAGGAAAGCTGGTGAAAGGCACAAAGTCTCTAGGCTGAGAGAAACTGAACTATCTTGAAGGGAGTAAAGAACTCACATAGGAAAGATTAAAGCAGGAACAGGTTCCTGGAACTACAGATTGAGCTGAACCACTGCTATGGTTCTCAAAATACGGCAGCGTCAGAATTACCTGGGAATATTTTAGGAATGCAAATTCTCATAGTCCACCTTGGACCTACCAAATCATAATCGCTGGGGAGTGGAGCCCAGAAGTCTCTGTGCCAATAAGCCCTGCAGATGATTCTGATGCACAGCACAATTTGATAACTGGTCTGAAGGGAAAAAATCTAGCACAGAAGCCAGATTCAAAACAAAGGATGGACGCATCCTATCTAGTCTTCTAGTGTGTTCTGGAGACAAACTACATGTACAGTGTTACCTATGCACAATTTGATGTAACACCAGGAGCCAGACTTGTAGCAAAATCTGGACTGTAAATATTCCCATGGCTAAAACCTAAGTGATTCCATCTGTGAAAAGGAAAAGGCACTCTTTTCCCTATCTCAGGGTAAGGAGCCAGTATGGTTCTTATATAAAGCTGTGCTGTCCAATAAGGTAGCCACGTGTAGCTACTTAAACTTCAATTAGCTACAACTGAATAAAATTCAAAAGTCAATTCTTCAATCACTCTTGCCATATTTTCAGTGCATAATAGCTACATGTGGTTAAAGGATACTGTACTGGTCAGAACAGGTAGAAATAGAACATTTCCTTCACTGCAGAAATTTCTATTGGACAGTGCATTTAACAGTCTAGTCTAAAACTCTCTAGTGGTATGATCATAATTTTGGTAGTGACTTCAAGGATACTTTACTACAAACTATTTTCTCTAGTGAAGTTTTAGCTTCTGCCATCAGAGACTGGTAGCTTTAAAGAGTCTGAAATCATCAAACGAGTAACAAGTAAAACCAAGATCAGATCAACATCTCCAGATTTAACACTACTGGAGTTTCTGAGACTCCCTACTAGGTGTCTGTCCAGGGTTTTTGCAGAATGCTTGCCATATCATCCAACATGGTGGATGTAATGTGTTGAACATATACCTGGGGATAGGAGAGACATTTGTAGAGAATGGTATTGAAGAGTAGAGGGGCAGAATAATCTAATCAAGACGTATTTTCCTTCCTTTTATCTTTGCTTTCTTAATATATAATTTATTAGTGTGTGTTAATTTTACAAAATATCAAGTTTCACTGTAGCATTTCCATATATGCATATGACATATTTTGATCCTATCCATCTCCCTTACATCTTTCATTCCCCTCTACCCTTTTCCCTTCCTCTTGTCTATTAACCTTCCTTCTCCTGGGTCTGATTTTGTATCCTACAAAATACATCATATGTCCCTTTGCACACCTTATGCCCCTCGTTAAGGGCACCCTCAGAAAGCTGCTTCCCCACCCCCATAACCCCTTGCTTCACTCATCCAAGTCTTTACTCTTCTTCATAAGGCTGACCTTGATTTGACCTTTCCAGAAACAATCTCTCTTTGGTACAAACTCTCTGAATATGCTTTCACTGTATTTAACATCCAGATATGTTATTTTCTTTAATTGGTCCACGTTTGCAGTATGTAATATTTACACTCCTTATGTAGAGTTGGTACATGCACATAACACATGTTAATTCCTTTTCTCATTGCTTTTCCTTCTCTCCCTCTTCCTCCGTTTCTTGATTCCCTTCCCAGTTGAGAAAGGTTTATCTCCCTACTTCCTCGCATCTGTCTTTTACTTCCACCTTTATTTATAAATTTGGTTTCCTCATATAGGAGAAACTATGCAATATTTAAGTTTGTGTAGCTGATTTATTTTGCTTAACATTATAATCTCGATGTGTATCTGTTTCCTACTGTCCATATTATTTTGTTATTTGTGTTTGCATGTATTTTCATTCACTATGTATCCAATTTCCATGGGTAAGGTAGTTATAACAAAAGATCTTACTTTATGACAGACATTTTCCTTGAGATTGTGGGACATAAAGCAGTATTTATGGTGAATGACCCAGGAATCAGTAGTATGTAATTAGCTAAAAGTATCACTTCCCATAAGGAAATCCACACAATTAAATAAAAATCCCAGGATTTTTGTATTGTGGGCTTAGTATTGACCCCTTGTCATTCCAAAAATGAAGTGGCAAAGAGTCAAATGACAACTAGAATAGAAGAGGGCTGGATAAAATCTCGATTTAGTCACATATTCTTCGGTTCTCACCCACACCCTTTAAACCAGATGCTTGGTGATGTTTTAACAATGCAGGTCTTTCCTAAAATAAATTTTAGTAATGCTGGCAGGCATTTTCTTTTCTTTTCAAGCAGAACAGACTCTTAAATGGTTGCTGCAGATCTGTGAGAAAGAATATATAAATGATACTCATTTGAAATCATTCCTTGTATTTACTGGGCCTGTTGTCTTTTTCCTTTCAAGCCTAGCTAAGATCATTTGGAGTGTTCAAGATTGATCCCAAGCTGGGCGTGGTGGTGCACGCCTGTAATCCCAGCACTCGGGAAGCTGAGGCAGCAGGATCCTTGTGAGTTCGAGACCAGCCTGGGTTACAAAGTGAGCTCAGGGCCAGTCTGAACTCCATAGTGAGACTCTGTCTCAAAAAGACAAAAAAAAATCAATCACAAATATGTGTGCATACATGTATGTGTACACACACACATTCACTCCCTATTTTATCCATAAGAACTAAGATTACTGGTACAGAGGCACAGAGTACTTGATTTCTTCTTTTTCAAAGGTTAGGTAATGCGATACTGTCTAGTGTACTTGAGGAAGACCTTGTCATATTTTTTCATTGCTTTATTCCTCACAATAGAATGGTCTGTCCACACCTGCATCCATGCAGTTCTTCAGGAAAGGTTACCAATTTCCAACAACAGAAGATAGATTAAGTGTACAAAAGTCACTTTTGTCTGGGCATGGTGGTACATACCAGTAATGCCAGCTACTCAGAGACCAAGGCAGGAGGATTTCAAGTTCAAGTCCAGCCTGAGCAATTTAGGGAGACCCTGTCTCAAAATAAGAAGGGCTAAGTTTGTAGCTAAGTAGTAGAGCACTTCCTTGCTGAGTATGTATGAAGCCCTGGGTTTAATCCTCAGCACTACAAAAAGTTTATCCTAAAAAATATTTTAAAAGGGTTGCTTTTAGACAAGGATGAATCAGGAAATGAAGCAAACCAGAAACTCTCCTCACTGGTAGAAAGGCTAGCTCTGTCACATCACAGTCAATCGCTGGGGTAGACAAAGGAGATTTGCAGTCAAGACTGCAAACAGCCCTGCTGGGGCCAAGGCATGGAGTGAAAGTAAGCAACAGCTGGTTTTCCAGTGGCTGCCATATTATATATATGTATAGATATAGATATAGATATATAGATATAGATATAGAGAGAGATAGATATATATAGATATATATATATATATCTGGCTTTGAATTAGGAAATACTATTTAGAAATATCACTTAAAGTGTTTCAAAATTCTGATGCTTCATAAAAGCCTTTCTATTCAAAATTGCTTCTTTTTAACTTTCTAATTGGTAGTGAGAGATAAAAGTGATCACTCAGGTGAAGAAATCTGACAGAGTACGGAATTCACTTTCATCTGTAGTAGTGAAGAGTTTGAATCAACTGGAGATGTTTAGGTGAGCTGTCTATAAGAGCCACCTGGGAAAGGCAACGATAACTGTTTTCTTTGTGGACTTCCAGGTGAAACTGGCAGACAGGAGGGCTGAGTCTGCCCTCAGTCAAGAAACTCCTGTAATCACTGGATGCTAGGTTCAGCAGCTTTGGGGGATGATATTGCCTGAAGATACAGGGGGTTATCAAAACACACAGTGAATGTGTAAATTTTAAAAATGCATTTAAAAAGACACATTGCCATTAATCTCCATCAAAATAATCCCCCTCTCTTTTAACACTCTTACCCCATTACTCTTGCCACTTTCTGAAGCAGTTCAGGAAGATCTCATTTGTGAATGACTTAGTTACATAGTCCTGACTGTCTCAGTGATCTGAATAGATGCAAAAGATTGACTTTTCATGATCATTTTGACTTTGGGGAAAAGCCAGAAGTCACATGGTGCTGGATGCAGTGACCAAGATGGATAAGATACACTTTGATGATGTCCCAAGCCTGCCTTTCTTCTGGGTGGTGCACAGCAGCAGCATTCACTGTGATTTTTTAATTACATTTCATAAAGACACAAAAGAGAACGTCCAGAACTTCTTCAGAAAGTGGCAAGTTGCACGCATTTGTCTATACATGCTTCAAGCTATCTTTTTTACTGGCAGAGAAGTACTCCATTATATATAAAGGAAAGGAAATTCTGTATTCATTCTTCTGTTGATAGACATATACACTGTTTCCAAGATCTAGCTATTATAAATTGTGCTTCTATGCACATGGGTGTGCATGTATCACAATAATATGATAACTTTAACCCTTGTGAAGATACCCAGAAGGGGCAGTCATAGAAACTCAAAATAAAGATAGATAAATAGGAAGGAGGCAGATGTTTAAATAATTCCCCAAATTATCTGTTCCATTATTTTAAAAATATTTTGTATATGCTAACTTGTTTCATATATACTTTTAGTTTCTCTGTTCATTGAAAGGAGAATTTTGTCGTTTTATTTGGTTGTTTGATCTTTGTAAGAGAG